TCTTTGTAAATAGGGAGGGGTGGAGGGGTTGAAGGGAGGGCTGGGCAAGGGCGAAAAAATAAGAACCAAGAGAGATTATGTAAAGGTGCAAATTTCCAATGACGAATGTCATTATATTGCATACCTAAAATGTACCAATAAAATTCATTTTAAAAAGAAATCTAGGACACAAAAGCACAAGAGTCTGCCCCTGCACAGGGTGGGGATCATAATATCCCTGTCATCTCCATATTTTGTCCCACCGGAAGACCTCTAGGCAGTGACACAAATGTTTAATTAAAGATTTGCCCTGGTGTTATGTTCATACGTGAAATAACCCCAAAAAACTCGTGGGTTGAGAAATGGATCGGTGGGAAGGGTCTGGATTCAATCCTCAGTGCAGTAGTACAGATAAATAGATGATAGATAGATAGGTGATAGACAGATGCAGTAGCATGGAAACTGATCATCATTATCAAGTATTATGTACTGTATATAATTGCTTATGCTGTACTTTCACATGATTGGCAGTGCAGTAGATTTGTTTACATCAATATCACCACAAATACATGGGTAATAGGATGTCACCAAGTGACAGAAATTTTTCAGCTCTGCTATAGCCTTATGGCACCACCATCGTATGTGTGATCTATCATTGACCAAAACACTATTATGTAGTACATGGCAGTAGTGTTCTAGGATTGCTTTTTCTGTATTTATTTAGTTTTATTTATCCTGAGGCTGACAACTGCCTCGTGTTTTCATTTAACTTATTTTTTATAAACACATCTTCAGCCTTCCGACATCTGTATCTTAACCTCTCAAGTCAGGATGATCTTTTTTGATTCCTAGTGATGCTGAGAAGCCCACAGATGTTCCCCTGCTCTTCTGCACCTGTTCCCTATAGGCCGCCCATACCCTCCCTGTCCTGGACCTTTCCTCCACAGGCTTTATGTGTTAAACTCACCCTTTCATTGTTTGCTCTTCCATGCTCCCCCTGTCCCCCTGAGCAGCTTCGGCTTTACCTGGGAGCATGTGAGAAATGAAGAATTGCCATCCAACTCCCACCTACAGATCAGAATGTGCATTTTAATGAGACCACAGGGGATGCACATGTGAACTAAAGCTCAGGAAACAGCAAACAGGACACCACTGCCTCTGCTCAAAGAATCAGCAAGGAGGTCACCTCAGGGGGGCACGCAGCAGGAATATCACTCTTGTGTCCCTCTCAGTTGCTGTACAGGACAAATAGTCCAGGGGTCACTCTGTCGAGTGGTCTCAGGCCTGGCCTAAGTGACATTTGGCAGAAGGATGACCTTAAAGAATGTGGAGGCTCCAGAGGCTGTGGATGCTGTGGAGACACCACCCGTGGAACCCCCAGGCTTCATGTGCACCCCCCATGCCCTGAGATACTGTCGTCTTCCTAACCAAGCATCCTTCCCCACATGTGAATAATCAAATCTCAAATAGCACTTCAGATGGCAGATGTATATCAAGGGCATCCCATCACCTGGCATCTCCGGCTGATTTTAAGTCAATACAGCAATGTGAGGAAATTTTACTTATTTTCTTGCTTTCTAATTTTCTCAAATGAACACAGCATTGCTTGCCACACAAGGGAACTGTCACGGTTAATGTCCGTGGAATGCCCTATGATGAAAAGTGAATTATCATGTGCCCATCTCATTACCACAGTTCTCAAAGATTCCTTTGTGAGAGACTCAACATGGAGAAAAGAGATATGAATATTCTCAAGGTTTCTGATATTACCCAAATCTTGATTTGCTCTTTTGTTAATGGCTGGGGGGTGCCTGGTTTACATGGTGCCCCCCTGATCTACTGTTTCTTTGTGTCCAGCTTCAGTGGAATCACAAGTACACTTACCTTTCAAATGAGCACACAGTAAATGAAATGAGGGGCTCGTACCCCTTCCTCATCCAGACCAGGTACTATCAGCTTTGTCCATCTGAACACACACATTCTAGGCAAGATACCATTGCCGGGGGATAGAAGAGCAGGCCGCCTCGATGTCAGGGGTCCTATCTACTTCACAGCAAAGAATTCTCCCTCAGAGCTGCACCAGGCAGCGTCTCCAGTGCTTTGTCTTCATTTCTGCCAGATCCGGACAGAGCAGCTCCCGGCTTCTAACAGTAAGTGTCCCCAGTGGGTGCATTTCAAATCCAATGAACTTGCCACCATGAGTCACTCAGACACTTCATGGACTGAGGAGCTAAAACTCAGACAGCACAAAGAATCCTTCCATTTTCTTAATAAACTTTAGGAAACATGCAGCTGTGATCATATTTCTGAGGAATAAATAACACTGAGTATCCTGTGGCTGCCTAGACAATGATTCCATTGGCCTTCACAGTCTTTTTAAAGCCCCAGATCCATCCTTCTATCATGAAGTGGTCAGAAGGACACTGTCCACTGAGTCCAATCCCTTTGACATCACCTTTAACTCCCGCAGTTTATTACAGGATGCTCTCAACTGCTGGCAACAATGTCTTTCCTGAGAATTGTTCTTTTCATATAAGTCCTCTCCTTTCAAAAGTTTTTAACAAAACAAGAATGAACATGTCCCCTTTTGATGGCCCTCAACAAAATGTCAGACTGTCAGACACCATTTTTGTGACAAAATGCCCCTCGTGTGCAGCTGCTCTGTGAATTGATGTCCTTGGGTCCCTGGAATTGACAAGGATTAATGATAAGAACTACTTACTGCTTTGTTTTTTCAGGAACCTCAGGGGTTTTTCTTTAACACCAGAAGTGGGTGTGAGTTGTGATTTTTCTTTTCTTTTGGGGGAGGGGGACACTAAAAAGCTTTACTTTGTTTTTAACGCTCTGACCAGTTAGGGATTCGGAAAGATTATCCAGTAAGAAATCTAAAAGATAACGTATATAAATATACTACTTGAAAACCAGTTGTGGCTCTTTTTGTAAGCAGAACTGGAGTTTTGCTTGTTTAGCTCTGCCTTTGACTTTGCAGGCATATCTCCAACTTTCTGTCCACTGTGATTTAATGCAGCAAGAAAATGTTACCTTAAAAGTATCTCCCTTTTTTTCTGCTTTTGCATCATAGTTAAGGGAGTTGTTCTCTTTGCTTGTTCTCATTCACAATGTCCAAGAGGAAAACAAAGCACATGCCAAATGGCATCAAAATGTCACCCTGTCTTTGCTCTATTCATTTGTCTTGAGAAAGCTAGCGTGGCTGGAGGGTGGTTTACATTTCCCCTCTGGCGGCTGGCCTGTCTCCAGCAGCTAATGAGCCTGTTGCATTGCCTGGCCTAGGGAAGTCTAGTCCACTTATATCATAGCCTTCTCTCCTGTCCCTGCATATGGGTGTCTTGAGCGACAGAAGCACCTGTCACGCTCATGTACTCCAGGTGGGGAGTCGAGGATATGCAGAGAGCCAAGAAGCAAACCACAGACCTTTATAGAACAACTCCCATCCCCCAGCTTCCCCACCTGCCTGGCTTTCCTTCCCACGCATAAGTATAAATAGTCTTTCTTCACTGGGGAGCTGGAGGACTTATGATGAGAGAGATGCTTCACAGCCTGCCTAAGGCAGGTGAGGCTGAGCCTCAACCAGCTCCCAGAGGCAGTTCCCTGATGCTAGACAAATCCGCAGCTTGCTCCATCTCACACCTGCCATCAGTATTCTAGACAAACTGGAGCTGAAATATACTTCTTGTTGCTCTTTGGTGAAGTAGAAACACCTTGCAGAGTGCATTTGGGAGATCGAGACTGTAAGTGTGTTTCTGCTGCAATATCTTTATATTTAGGCATAGATACAAACATGCACAAATGGATCATCCGTGATGAAAGAGAACAATGAAGATAACATTTAAAATATCTAACTATCTCCTCTTAAATACCCTTCTCATCTTCATTATATAAAGTAGATGGCTGAGCCAGTTGCTTTCCGGTGAATGATTATTACTCTTTGCCGGCACCTAGGGGTAAAGGAAGTGAATTTTTAAGCAGGAGGCACACAATTTCAGAAGATTTTGCTGATCTGCTCACAACTGCCATTTAGTTGTTTCCTTGCTCTGGAGCTGGGTTCCTCGACTGGAAAGAACATAAGCATGACAGTAGCACAGTGCCTCTCGTTTACAATTGTCTTCACTCCAGTTGGAGAATCTGGAGCTCTCTTCCTTTCATCCCTCAAATGCGAAAACGCTCCTGGACTTGCCCTATTCACACCACATTAGCAGGAAACAGGGCAGCTGTGTGTCAAGGAAAGCACACGGAGGAAGGTGTTTGTCCCCAGATCAGGGAGAGGGAAAGCAGCAACCCTTGCTTATGTTGCTGTTGTTCACAGCGAGCACACTGTTTACAGTTCATTGCATCATTTACCAGAGAAGCAGAAAAGCCCACTCACCACTGAAATGTTCCTTAAACATAACCTTTCCTTCCACCACTCCACCTCACCCAGGAACACATGCTCAAGGGCACACTCCCACTCACAAACCCCAACGGGCAAGAAACAGGGTCTTGAAAGAATAGGACCGGTCCTCGATTTTACATTGCATTTACTCCGATACATTCACGTTATCTCTGTGAGTTTTCTCCATCCAAACATCTGATTGCTCTTCAGAGTTTCCTGGAGCCATGGGAAGACACTGAGCCGGGATTTAGCCCTATTCAACCTTGTTCAGAATCTTTCAGAATCTGTTTTCACACCTGTGCATTAGGACTATGTAAGACCTGTACCACTTACTTTATGAGATTCTTTATGAGGTGAGAAATTTAAAGATTCTTTGGCGACTTTTGAATTGCCTTCAAATATGGTTAAGGTTTACTGTTATTTTGGAAATGTTGGAAATAGGAGTATCTGAGGTACTTTATACTCATGTACTAAGGCAGTAAAATAATTTACAATAAGTAATTGATCGGATGATTTTTATTTGCTGTCTGAATAGTGGCTGTTTCTTTCCTACTGAACGTGAGATGAAAGTGTCCCTTCCACGTATAAGGGACACTGTTCTGAATGTTTTCAGATCAACTCATTTGATTCTCCCTTTGCTCTTCTGGAAGCTGCACTGTTACTCCTGCTCTGCAGCTGAGGAAACTGAAGCAGCTCACTGTTGCACAGCTGGTAAATGGCAAAGACAGCGTAGGAAGCTGGGCAGTCAGATTGCAGGGTTTGCATTCTTAATTAAATACGACTCACACCCATTTTGTTTTCTGTGGTCAGGGAAAGTCATATAAATTCATATCGTTAGATACAAAAGTTCCCAACTTGTCTTGCAATGATCTGAATTAATTTATTGCTTATAACATATCCCAAAGGAAAAATTCTGTTATGGGAAAAAACTTTAAAATATGAAGTCCTATGTCCAAAGTAATCCACTAACGATGGCTCTGGGTTTAAATGTCATAGCCTCCGGGGCTTTGGTTTGCTGATGATTTCAAAGGCTCGTTGAAAGGATCTGTGATGTGTGAGGGCTGCACACAGACTCGGGATTTCAGGGAAGCTGGCCCAGTCCAGAAGTCAGGTGCCGGGGCCCGAGGCCCCCCCTTCCCTGGGCCTAGGGTGCCCTCCAGCGTGGGCACCTGGATGACTGGGTTTGCCCTCCTTTCTGCTCAGTCTCTGTAACTATCAGTCAGGGTTCGGTCAGAAAAACTGCCCTACTGAGGGGAAAGAGGCTTGAAACAGGAGAGGAAGCTTGCTGACACAGCTGCTGGACGCCATCCGGGCAGAGCGTGGAAGAGGACTTGCTGCAGTCTGGACATGCGGGCCCCAGGGAGGCTTCTCCCTTCAGGGAGACACCTGAGGTCTTGGGCCTGCCCTTGGATACCACCCGCGAGGCCACACACCTGCCCACAGCTTGTGTGTCAAGGAAAGCACAGTGCATAGTGGCTTCACCTTTCTTTCTGTCCAAAGCGAACCACATGGTGAGGGTCCCGGGCCCTGAGACTCTGTCTTTGGCCTGGAGTTTAGAAGGAGAGATGAGGGCTGTGTCAATATCAGCAAGCCATAGCTGGTATGGCGGATGGAGACCCACAGCATTCCCCTTCAGGAAGCAGGGAGCACTTGGCAGGAGCAGTTACTCATTACCTCCTCCTGCAGCCTGTCCTGTCTCTCCACCGCCTCCATGGGGAGAACACGCACATGCCTGGTGTTCTACCACGCACCTCCTGATAGTGTTGTTGGGATGAAGGGAGCAATGATTTAAAATAACCGTAATTACAATTTAGTTTTTAAATGTTTGTTCACTTTAGCATATAGACTCCAAGGTACACACTGGATTCAGGTAGCTTTTAGTGAACATTTAGTGTGTGCTTTCTAAATCCCAAACAAGTCTCTAAGCCCTGGAGATAGAATATAGAAGATATTTAAAATATTCCAGCAGCCATCAGTAAGTTAACTTCCACTGGAGGCAGCTGGGTAACAAGCAAATAAATGTATAAAATGCCAATGGGGCTTTGTGCCAACGAGAAAATCAGTAGAGAGTATAACAGAATGAGGAGGATGGCCAGAGTGGTTGTGGGGGTGACGTTTTACACAGGGAGGTCAAGGTGACATTTGAGGAGTGGCCCCAAAGAAGTAAGGACACAGACCTGTGGGTACGTGAGCGCAGAAACAGCCCAGGTAAACGGCCCCCGAGGGAACTGCCCCGGCCAGGTCCACAGGTGACAGGGAGAGGATTCAGGAGACGAGAGAAGAGCCGAGATGCCACGAAGCCAGTGTGTGCCTGGAAGGATACAGCAGACGAGGGCTTGCGAAGTGTGGTCGAGATTCTGTATTTTATTCCTAGTGAGATGGAAGGATGCTGAAGGGATCCGAGCAGCGAAGTGAGGGAATCTGACTGGTAATTCAGAACCCAGGGCGCAGAAGTGGGGCAGGGAGGTAGGGTGGGAAAATAGAAGGTGGGAACCTCCGCAGTTACGGTTCTGGGGACAAGGCAGTCCCATTTGTGACGTGCTCTGCGGACAGTGGGGTGGCCTGGACATTCGACGGAAGGCAGCAGGCGTACTGCCGTGGAGCCGGGGCTGGCCTCAGAGGTGACTTTTCATTCTCACTCCTGTCCTAGAATCCGGGCCTGGGCAGCTGTAGGGATGGAGGCGCTGGTTATCAGGGCGGGAAGACCAAGAGCCCCGTTTTCCTCAGGGGGAGAAGGGTCGGGAGTTTGGACCTGCTGAGCCTGAACTAAAAGTGAAGCTATCCGGGACACAGCCGGGACCCAGTGTGCTCTCCAGAGGGGCAGGGGATCTGGCAGCAGGCGCAGAACAAGCTCTTGGGAGAAGTTCCGCCCAACGTCAGAGCGGGAACACGAGGGCACCCAGGGAGAAGTGTTGGAAAGCGGCCCTCCGAGAGCACGGGGCTGCACGTAATGCCGTCTGCCTCGTCGTGACAGCATGAAACCCTCACAAACGTGATGCCCGAGCTTGGACTTCTCAGCCTCCGAAACGGTAAGCCAAAATCATCAACAACTTTTCTTTATAAAAACACTTAGTCACAGGTACAGTATTTTGTAATAGCAACACAAAGCAGAATAAAAATATGCTGAAGTGGTTCACAGAGCATCTGAAGGTGAAGGATACTTGCTTTTGCGTTTTCCGTTTGCTGTTTTGTTTTGTTTTGTTAGTACTGGGGATCGAACTCGGGACCTTGAGCTTGCAAGGCAGGCAGCAGAACCACTGAGCTAAATCCCCAGCCCTCTGTTTGATTATTTTTAACACAAAGTTTGCAGATTCACAATAGTTTTGAAAATTTAGCACAATATGTAGAATGAAATAAAAATCATCCAATCATTTTTAAATAAACATCTTTGAGATTTTGGTGTTTATCTTTCTCAGAATAGTCATTTGGGTATATGCTTGCATTGTTCCTTAGTTAGGATGATTTGAATTGTAGTTTGGATTTCTTTCTTTTCGTGGCAAAAATTTTCACATGGTATAATGTACAGACATTAAGGGCTATATTGATACTAATCAGATGTATAATAATGTATTTAACTCTCCCATGCTTTCTGAATGTTTAACTAGTTTTCTGGATCGAAGTAATTAATTATGCTGCAATAAATGTGTTGGTCATTGGTACAGACATCTTTACATTTCTAAAGAATAAGATTACTGGGTCAAAAATAATCTCTTAATTCTCAATAACTATTAAAAACTATTGCCAAAAGATTTTGATACTGTACTATCAATGTAATAACTTTGCCTTTAATGTTGGCACATTACAAATATTTAACAATCTAATAAGTGAACACTGACACTTTACCTTCCTTTATATTTAATTATCTTTGTTTATTAATCAAGGTAAATGCTTCTGTTGGTTGGCTGGTTGTTTATAATCTTTCATTAGTTAGCTGTTCTACCAATGGTTGACAATTTTCTCCATATATCTATTGAAAGGTTCTTATTTGCTTTTGCCTTAGTAATAAATAACTATGTACATGGTGCTGATTTTTGTCTTTTTTCCCACTCTGACAATTGCCATGGTATCTTGGATGTTTATAAATTTGGCGGGGGGGAAGCTGAGGAGGTCATGGGTGCCAGAAAGAAACTTCATAAGTCATCAAATCTCTTCATTTTATGATTTAAGACATTTGTTTTGGGAACTTTACATAACTTTTTCAAAATAGGGTAACTAAGTAGCGCCCAACTGAGATGAGAAGACAGAGCTCTTGGTCACTGAGACAGAGTTCTTTGGTGATATAGGTGCAGTGTTAAGCAGATACACAGCATCTTTATCATCTCCGAAAAGAATCATGTGAAAGAAGCATTGCTATTCCCGTCTCATAGAGAAGATAAGTAAATCGCCCTCATTTCATAAACACTTAATTGCAGAAGAACTGAATTGCCAGTGTGTCTTATTCTTAACAGACACTCCCAAGAATGTTTAGAGAACTCCAAGTAGTCAAGCTGCAACCATGAGCCCTATAAAACCAGCAGAAGGGCATCACATGCCGCACATTCACAAGAACCGATGGTGTCTTGTGTGAAGTCTGGAAGCCGGATGGCCTTTGTATGTGTAGAGGCAGACAACTGATAGGCATCTGCAGACAGCTTGCCCAGGAGCAGAGAGCAGATGTTCAGTGAATCTCCATGTCTTTCATATCCCTTCCCTGGATGTCTGTACTCAGTGGGAGAGCAGAGACCTGCGTGCTGGGCTCTCTATTGCACTCCCAGAGCCCACGACAGCATCAGTCACAAGATATGTGACTCAAAGCAACTCGTCTCTCTATAAGCCTTGAGCTAAGCCTTGACTTCCAGACTGGCCATCCGCTGACTACATTTCAAGAAGCTATGCTGGCCCAGGAGAACCCTGTCAACACAGCTGTATTCCTTGTCCATTAATTACACTGTAAATGTAACAAAGAATTTTATGTATTGCTCACCACAAATATTTTTACCTAGACTTATTGAAAGCTACTCTAACATAAAGTCGGGGACCAATCTCTGCATCTGTGGTGTTAAACACACTTTTCTATGTCCCTTTGTTAATGATGCGCTGCCTAGGTCAGCTCCTCTTTATTCAGAAGCTTTTCTATGTTGCCATTTAGATGCTCAGGTGTGTGCGTAGGATTAACTGCTCTCAAACCAGGGCAAGCATTATAATTGTGTGATACCCATCTTTGTACTCAGCAGACCTATGGCATGCAGAGAGGGCTTTATAGTACATGGCAGTGTTTTTTAAGAACCAGAATATTCTTAAGAAATATTTACTAGTGACCTTTAGTTGGCACAGATTACTCCAAACAAAGATATGCAACATTTGCCTCAGGCTCGTGATGGGAAAATGTTTTTGACAAGAAAAAATATTGACTTTCTAAAAAAAAAAACAGACAATGGGGTGTGTGTGAGTGTGTGTGTGTGTGCGTGTGTGTGTACTTGCTTCATGAACATATGTATGACCTTAAATTGAAGCTGGATAGTTGATTATTGCCAATGGAGAAAGGCAGGAACACTGAAATTTTTGGTGTCAAAATGTTTCCCTTTATTTACAGCAAAGTAAGCCAGCAGTCCTTATTATACCCCATAAACAACACCAACAACAAAAAAGCACCCCATAAAAATTAAATTGTGAAATCTGAATTATTTATGTGATTTCATTTGGTGGATGTATTCTGTGCCATTGAGCCTAGCTTCTTTCTAATGTCATAACACGATTAGAGACTGTAATGATCTTCCAGGGATGCAAGATTTATCAGCCCTTGCAGAATGGGATGGGGGCCAACGAAGGAGATTAAGGGATACTGGTGAAATTAATCAAGTTTCTCTCTGCATATTGGCTGAGAGAATGCAGTAGGTTATTATTCAAGCATTTTACACAGTAGAAACACAATATGACCATTACCATATGTTGAATTTAAAATTACATGTTAGTCTTTTCCAAAAACAACCCCATAAAAATGTCAATACTATTGTCAACTAATGGCTTTATCCACTAAAGAAGGCGTTTATATACAGAAGGTGAAAGAGTGCTGATACTCACTAGCTCACTGGGAGACATTACATTTTAATCCTGTTACAGCAGCCAGACTGGCTGATCTGCAAACCAAAAAGACTGGTGAAGAGATGGGTAAAGAGACGCTAATGCATCTCTCTTTTCTTCACTGTAAAAGGAACTGACATCCATCCCCTCCTAGGATATGAATGGGCTGCATTCAGTGGCCTTGAAATATGAGCTTTTCCTTTTCACTTGAGGCAATATTGAAGTTTTCTGGAACAGATAGAAGCCATCATTCCAGCCCTAACACAAAATGAAAGCATCATTGTGGGAGCAATTTTGAAAATGTATGAACTTCATAAAATGTTCCTTTTTCCACAATATGAGTTTGGCTGCAGAGACAGAACATTGAAGATCAGGGAAACTACCTATTCAGGCCTCTATCCTTCCTGCCTGTTTGTATGATACTTAACAGAGAACAGAGTATTTGTCCTATAGAGTGTTCATCAATAATGAGAAATAAATATATCACCTATACGCCATGCAAAACATGACATTGTCTATGCCGTGAAAAATGAGCTAGCTACCAGCAAATTTAGAGGTATTTCCCAATGAAGCTGTCACACAGTTACATTTATTGCTAAAATCATATTCTCAATTTCCAGTGGTGAGGCTTAAAAACACTCTCCATTAGATCCACATCAAAAGTGACGACCTCATCACATCAATAAAAAAATGAAAAATGAATCCGCTGATTATAATTTTTTTTCTTTCCAAAATGAACCAGCAACTTCAATGCACTCCAGAAGAAAATAAACACCAAAAACAAAGTAACCCTATAAACTGTTGTGGGCACATAGCTGATGAATCTCGCAGGATTTTTTTAGGTTTCAAAATAAAACCAACATGGGTGGCCTTAAAGAAATCAAATTTTGTTGAGACTCTAGCTTTGTTGTCATCACCAAGAATACCAAGAATCTCAAATTTTCTCTCCTGACAGAGCCAAAGTGATCTTAATTCTTCTCAGTGGAGGCTACAGTGGAGTAAACGAGTTCTTGGTCCCTCAGGTAAATGAGCTCTGACCCGCTGGCAAGTGTTCAGAGAAACATGTAAGTGAAAAACCCCAAAAGGTGCTCCAAGTTTGTGAAGTGTTTCAGAATTGTTCTTCAATTAGCATTCATTCTTTCTTCAACTCGATAGAGAATTTTCTGTCTAGAAGAAGCACATCTTCTTCTTCCGCAGAGAGATTTGTACACCCATGCACAAAAAGCTGTTGTAAAACTCAAGTCGATCTTTATATAAATTTGAGGTGGCACACATTTGTTCATAGAGTGTTTACGTGTGTGTGTGTGTGTGTGTCTTACACAGTGAGGATTATATAAGATAATTTGACCTGTGGATGCAAGAAGGACAAAATAGAAATGTGCTAATTTTTAAAATTCTTACTTCAAAATAGTTGTGGATTCACAGGAAGTTGAAAAGATAAAGCAGAGTGGTTCTGTGGCCCTTCTCCAGCTTCCTCCAGAGGGGACCTCCCACGTGATCGTAGCACAGTGCAAACCAGGAAGCCGGCGCTGACACAGGTGTGCACTTGGTTCTGGGCCCCTTTGTCACCTGCACAGATTTGTGTGGTGGTCACTGTAGGGGACATGAAGGCTATGTCACCACCTGAAGCCAGGTTCACCTGAAGCAAAGTGAGATGGAGGAACTGTGTCCCCCAGAAAGGTATAACCTCACCTCCAATACCTGTGAGTGTGACCCTATTTGGAAATAAGGCCTTTGCAAATGTAATTGAGGTAAGATGAGGTCATACTGGAGTAGGGTGGACCAAAACTGAATTACGGTGTCCTCATAAGAAGAGTCCCAGGTGTCTACACGGGCAGACCACAGGAAGATGGAGACAGAGCTCAGAAGGATACTTCTGCAGGCCAGGGGTGCCAAGGACTACCAAAACTTCCAGAAGCTGGAGGAAATGAGAATGTTTCTAGAGGGTCCCCCAGGGCCTCTAGAGTTTGCGCAGCTGTCGCAGCCATGATTGTGGGGTGCTAGCCTTCCAAACTGTGAGAGAATACATTCTACTTGTGTGAGCCACCGAGTTCGTTATCTAAAAACTTAACACTGCTTTACAGTCACACACCTCCTCACCGTGCCCCAGCATCCCTGACCGCCACTAATCTATATTTTGTCATTTACAACTCTTATGTAAGGGCTGGGAGTACAGCTCGGTGGTACAGTGCTTGCCCAGCACGTGTGAGAAAACGGCATGCGAGTAAATCCCTTCCTGGGAACGTGACTGAGGCAGGCCTTGCCCGCCTCGGTCACCTCCGAAGGTGAAGCTGCCGGCCTCCATCAGATTCCCACATGCCCTCTAAATATCTACTGGAACTTCCATTTAAAACTGCCTCCAGTTCCACGAGAAATCACCGACAATTGCATTTCGCTAATCACACACATGCTCCCAGCCTTGCTTACGCGCAGCTCTCGAAATGGCAGCAAGTTAGTCGAACATTCCCTATTCACCATCCTTGCCTGGAGCTAATTGTGGTTCCTTCAAAAAATCAACTGCACCTCATAGAACACAAAAGTTCAGAAGAAAGCATCTAAAAATAAAAAAACAGACTCTAAAAATACACGTCATATCTCAAGTGGCCTCAGTCCGACCCATTTTTCAGGAGGCAACGGATTTTCAGCGTCAGTTACATTCCTGTAAAAATACAAACGCATTGCTTCATTTTATTCTCCCTGAAAAGAGGTACTATTTAATTAAACATGCTACAGAAATTTACTTGATTCACTTTTTCTATTTTAAAAATGCTCTTTTCCAGATTTCAGTTCAGCTAGCGGCCTCCCATTTCATTGCTAGAACTTCACACGTCGCTGTTGGCCCGGAGGAGAACGCGGGTACACAGCAAAAGCATGGATCGCGCACATCCACGTGGGCCCCTCTTGAACTACCACTATAAAATATGGGAAAAGTTCTTTGGGGAAATATAAACATGCAATCGTTTTTAAGAAGAGAGAAAGAAGAGAGAATAAAGAGCACTACATTTTGGAGGCTAAGCAGAGCAAGTTCCACCTCTAATATTCAGGCATACCAGGTTATTCAGGTCTTTCTCTTTGAAAATAAAAAAGGCTGACTGAACTCTAAAGAAGCATAGTACTGAGAAATGACTAACAAGATAGAGGCTAATTATCCTGAGAGAATACAAGCCCGTAACAGAGTTTAACCAAGCACAAAACAGCCCTGGTGCTGAGGGCACTGGCCAAACCAAGCAAGAGTAAACTGAAATTTTACTAATGCTTCAAGTCAGGGACCCACACAAGTGGGCGCCCGATGACGGGAAGTCGTGGCCCTCCCTGGTGCAGTTACCTTCAGAAAGGGCCCCACTCTGAGTAGCAAAGCCGCCTCCACTCCCAAAACCAGAATCAATTTGTGCACTTGGACTAAAAGAGAATGTCCTAAAGCTGACCACGGGGAGATACAAAACAAGATCAAGCTAAGACAAAGTGAAAAAAGGCAGCAAAATCCGCCTCCGTGGGATGTTGAGATCTGCCCTTCCAGTCAGGAAGAGAACGGGAAGTAGCGCCCTGGACGCCCGTCTCAGCGCCCACGCTCCAGGTGCTTGTACGAGAGCACGGTGAGAAGAATAAGCAAAAGGATTAAAAAGGAACGAACAGAAGTGTCTGCGTTTCTACACTATGTGATGGAACACGCCCAGAAAACTGTTCAAGAGTGAGTGAGAGGCTTTGGTGCCTTCTGAGACCGACCGTCACGGCAGAACAAGGGAGGAGCCCGGGCTCGGGCGGAGGGCGCAGGGTGCGGAGCCCTGGGCGGCGCGTGGGGGCGGGGTGAGTCCCTCGGGCGCGGAAAGGCCGGGAAGGGCTTTGAAGATGCGAGGGCCGGTGCGTGGCGGGGCGGGGCGGGGCGCGACGTGACGCTGGTCTCCTCGGTGAAAAGTCCTCAGGGCTCTCCCGGGGGCAGGCGGAGCCGCGGGCGGGACGGGGCGGGGCAGCGGGACGCGGGGCGCCGGGGGGCCGCCTGCGAGGCTCGCACTGCGTCCCGCGTGGACGTCGGGTCCAGGAGAAAGGGAAGTCCACGGTTAGTTTCAAGTCTGTTTCTCCAGTGAAGACGAACGAGGACGACCTCACTCGTAGAAATGGGGCGGGGCGGACGCCGAGGCGGCACCTGCGCAGAGGCTGTGACCGGCGCGGCTGCTGAGCCCCGCGCTCCGTGCCCTCCTCGCTGGCCCTGGGCCCGGAAGGCCCGTGGCCCCCTTCCCCCATCTCTGTCCGGAATCACACACGCCCACCCCAGGAGAGCTTTCGGCGCCCCCTCAGGACCCTCCAACAGCCTGTGCCGCCTTCTCCAAGGCTCCTGGAGGAAAGCCGGCCCGCCCGTGTCCGCTGCGCCCATCCCTTGGTGTCTGCCCTGGGCCCCATGCCTCTCACTCCCTCAAGGACATTCACCCGTTCTCTTCTGCGTCCTTACGTTTTCTCTCTCTTTTGCATGATTCCCAACAGCAGAAGACAAAATGCGGCGTTCCGTTGTTTGTTTTAAAGATCAGTCCGTTTACACCGCACCCAGTGACTGATGTCTCCCGTCCCCTGTGGCAGAGCTTTAGCTGTCCACCACACTAGGCGGTGGGTAGTGGCACGATGTCAGGTCTCTGGGGGAGGAAGACACCACACCTTGACCCAAGAAGCCAGAGAGCCACGCAGCGGTCGGGCTCACCCTTACAGTAGCCTGCGCTTTGAGAGACATCAGGAACCCCGTGACAGCTGTAAACGTGGCTTCTTAGGCAAGCGCATCCCGTGACTTGAGGGCCTCCCACTGGGCTCTGCCTCTTGAAGGCCCTTCTACTTCTCACACCACCACGCGGGGAATTAGGCACAGCCCTTGGTGGACACACTCAAATCGTACCCAAATTGTGGCGGAAATGCTAGCACTATGGACACTAGTAAGCAGCTGCCGAATTATCCATGTGTGTTGTTCCTGTTCCTTTCTTCCTCTTCTCCTACATCCCCCCTTCCTCCTCCTTCCTTGGGTTGCTTTTGCGCCTGCTGGTCCATGAAGACAGTTTCGCCAAGCTCACCAGCATCACCCACGTGACTGATCCCAATTAGCTAATTAATTGCCCTCCCCTGACTTCTCAGCACCATGGCACATGCCGGGCCAGTCCCATCTTCCCTCCCATGGCTTTTCTCACCAGTTTTTGAGGATTTCACACCTCTTAACTTTCCTCCTGCTTCACTTGCTGTTGCTCACTCTTCTTTGCAGGTGGATTAAATGTTTAGAGAAAGGGTTGAGGCTGGTGGAGGCTTGCTGATGCCAACAGTTCCACATGACCAGTGATGTCTCACCGGAAGGAATCACGGGTCAGGGTAGGGCTGGTGCAGACCTTCGGAGCAGCGAGAACATGGACAGGACCTGGCACATCATGTGGAGACACTGCTAATGAGCATGCTTGGCAGGGTGGCTGGTCAGTGGCTTCAGAGCAGAATATGAGCCATCAGGTATAAGCAGAGCCTGCGCAGGGGGCTCCTTGGGCCACCACAGAGAGGAGCCCACTCTAGGGAGAGGGTGTGGTGTGCTGGAGAGTTGTCCTCTCCCTTCTGAGGAGCATGAGAAGTTCTTCCAGCCTCCCGAAATGCTTCTCAATCACTAGTGAAGACGGCGTTCATTATGGAAATCCCAACTCTCTTACCATTGAGTAACCACATGGAAGGGAAAGTTGAAAGTCCTGATGCACGTGTTTCATTATCACACACTGTTTTATTTCATCATCTTTCACTTCATTCAGCACTTATTCTGCCATCTCTTTACTGAACTTCGTATTTTTAGCACTTAACACTCTCAACCTTCTGTTTTGGGTTTGGTCTTTTTCTTTTTGCTTTTGTGTTTTTTGTCTTCTCTATTTGTCTTCATGGACTTGCTGTGGACTCATGTTGGGATGCTAGGTGGATGCTAGGTGGTGCTCTTTGGCTTTCAATTTCTTCCTCTGTAAATTAGAGTTAATAATGGCTTCAACTACCCTAGCTGGTTACTGTAAAATTAAGATAAAATAAGAGTAATGAAAAGATCAATGGTAAAAATTAAGGACCATACAAAGATAGTATATTGTTACTTAAATATAAATACTATATAATACTATATACTATATAAAATATAATACTATTTATAATATATATAATATATAAATATATAATACATAAAATATAATACTATATACTATAAATATTGTTACTTAAATCCTCGGGCTAACTTTGTGTTTAAGGATTCAAAGAGCAAATTAAGTAATGTCACAGATTGCATAGCAACTATGGGTTCTTCCATATCATCTATTCTCTCTCTGTTGTTCATCCTCTGTGTTTATTGGAAATAAACAGCACGTAGTATAGCCACATGCTGTCGCTGAAGAGCTAATGTGGATATATCCTCCTAAAATTCATTCAGTAAAAGTCTAATTCAAAAGAGAATTGAGAAAATCAGTTCTTAAAAATAAGAACAAGGAAGATGCATACTTTTCTGTAGGAGAATTGTATGTCCTTTATTTAAAACCGAAGAGTCCTCTAAGAATCAAAAACAATAACTCAGGTGTACTGAGGAAACACCCGCAGATAAGTTTATAGGAAATGCACTGTAGTACTACAAAATTTTGCTTAGGTTTAAGAACCCTAACAAAAGAGATTTAAATCAGTGATGAACCAAAAGATTATCACATTGCAGTCACCTCTCTACCAAAGCCAACTTGAAGCAAAAGCCTTTATAGGAACTTCACATCAAAGAAAAGCTTTATCAGCTCCATCTAACTTCAGTTTAGCTTGCAGAAATGATTGACTTTTCCTCAGACACTAGGGCTTTTCATGTATGTGTGTGTGCATGTGTGCAGGGGGGTGGGAGAGCGAGAGAGTGAGACAGAGAGAGAAGTAGATACAGAGGTGATCAAAATGCAGGAGATGAGGCTTAGGGAATTGTTTTATTTCGTGACAATTTTAAAACATTAATATTATTTAAGTGGGTTGTATCTCTCAGGCCTATTTTTAACAATAATTATTTTAAATGGAAATGTATTACAAGAAAATATAACTATCCTTTAGATATCTTATAGACATTATGCTAAGAGCATCCATTAATAATTCAAAACACTTCACTTTCATTTCCTTTCCTCCCATTGTTTAATACTTAAGATGTTAATGTGAAGAGAACAGATTATGCAAATAGTGTTCATCCATTAGTACATCAAACTAACAGAGGAAGTGGGCTGTCGACCCTTCTACGATAATCATTAACAATAAAGTAGGAAGTGGAAGCAATGCCTGTCTTATTAGGATAGTCTTTCTGATTAATTCTGGCTTCTTACCAGTTGTGAGCTTTCACAATAAAAGTATCCTTTCTACTTGCACAATTCTTTCTCCCTTTCTTCTGGAGCCTGGCCAGGATGCTCATGAGCAATCGTAACCACAGTTTACCAGGGAGACTTTCTCATAAACATTGCAAACGGCCTGCACTGGCCCTGCCCTGACCCCCCCAGGGCCCACCCACCTCTCCACTGGTAAGTGCCAACAGCAGTTCCATTTTCTATTCATGAAATCGTTGGAGATTAGTGAAACCTCTGTGAGATGTAATAACAAATGACTGTAACACAGAATCATCTGGTTTACATGATAATTCATATGCCAGTGAGGCTTTGTACATTGACTCCTCTCTGCATTTTCCATAAGCTTCAAAATCATTACTGGCAAGAAGTGTTACTTACACAGGAAAGCATTACCAGGAGGAAATCCACTCCACTTAAGTAGTGCGATGCGCCACTTGACGAATTTAAATACCTTGGGATTTAACTAGGTCCTTCTCCTCCCACTTCAAGTAGATTACGAACCTCTAAAGCCAGAATCTGGAGAGCATTACATAGCTGGATGAATGTGAGGGGTGTACACGTCTGTTTGCTTATTATTCACTGAAACCTCCATCCTTATTCACCCTTGAATATTTAAATCCATATAGGTCATAGTTGTACTCCAGAGACCAGTAGCACAAGCAATGCACAGTGCATGCTAAACCTCTGCTTTTATGCAAATAAAGACCCTTCACTTTTACCCCTACTATTAACTTAATTAGCCTAATTTCTCTGAATGCTAGCTTGCTGGCTCCAAGCTAAGAAGATTGGCTGAGTCCTTTCTTTCCTAGATTGTGCCGACTAAAATGAATGCAGGCACAGTAAGAGAAGGAACCAAAGCATCCTCAGCAAAAGCAGGAATTAGGAAGAACTCGTGTTTCTGCCGCCAGCAGCAAGGACATTGCTCATGGAATCACAAGACACAGCTACTTAAGAGGAAATGCAGATTTTGCTTTAACCTAATGAAGCTTTGTCATTTTTAAAGGACATCACACTGTGATCACCTAAGTACATTAAAAGATAATAGTAGCTAGTGCTCTGTGTGCTATTTTTAGCACAAAGCATAACATAAAATCTAAAGTTAGGCAATATGATCTTCATGTCTCCAGAGGGTCTCATTAAAATGAGTTGTTTCCCTCCAAAGGTTAACTCAGTAAGCAATGTTTAAATTTCTTAATCAGGCTATGCAGAGTCACCATGCAAGGAATATTTTTTAAAACAAATCTATCAGACTGTGGCCTGCACCACAGCAGTAAAAGACCACCATCTTAAAATGTAAAGAGGAAATGTACACTGCAGAAATATGTTTGGAATTGTCAATGTTCTAACTGAAGATTAAGAAAGGTAACTCTTCAGCTAGAGAGTAACCATTGCATCAAATTGTACAGCGTTTTGTATAAGCCAAGGCCAGCCTAATAACATTTTACCATATAATGAAGTTGTGAACATTAATCTTTGTTTTGAACCCAGGTTGAGTATCACTGCTTTAAATAGAAAAGGTCGGGATTCTGAGAATAAGGCCA